TTCTCTTCTGAAATATCAAAGATAGTTTTACATAACGTCACTGACTAACCAGGTTATGTCTAAACACCACACTGGCGTAAAGCTTTGGATGTGGAACCGGAAATGTATAGAAATTCGAATGTTAGAACTTTAAAAACAATTCAGATACTATAGCTATACTTTGTTTATTTCGACGCGAATTCATGTAAACATTTGAACATTATGTCCCCAAACCCGGAAGTCCTCTAAAAATCATTAGTCAGTAAGTGGTCTTCGATTTCACTGAAGTAACGACAGAACACTTAAGACGTATCAAGACCTTGGTTAAAAAACGCTGACAAATTTAGGAAATGTCGAGGAAACAAGTATATAATAGTGACAAACTTTATCTCTTAGTCAAATTAGTTGGTGTACTGATTTTGCATAATTTTTCTGGTTAGCGTTTTTTTAGCGAGTTAGTTTTCTACGAGATGGGGACGCTAACCCTATGCCCAACCCTCCTCCTTTATCTGGGCTTGGGACCGGCAGTAACCCCCGGAGGGACTCCGGGCGGAGTTACTGACTTCGCATACTATATACAAATACCGGTTTATCTATTCACTAAACTATTGAGATGTGCAACGTGATATTCCTGACTGAGGGAATCTTAGCACAATTTAGAATTTTGATTAGCTTCTGGCAACGTGTGGAGTAGACGAGGTGCCTGTCCGTTAACTAAAGGGCTAGTATACTGTGTTAGTGTTCGTCCGGTTGTTCTTCCTCAGGAAAGTGAAACTTAGTGTCTAAAAAGGTAGATATTCGCAGGCTACTAGTATTTGATAATAGATGTCATCGAACGATTGCTTACGTATTTTTATAACACCTAGCATGCAACTCCGAATGAGATGGTTCTCAAACGAACACTGCAATGCCTGACAAGCGCAATAAGATCAACAAAGACCTGGTATTGGGCCATGAAGAAATGCAGTTAGATGCGCCTCCTGATATACGGCAAGTTTCTTTTGATATATCTTCATGTCATAGCTCTAATACTAGATTAGTAAGTAGGCACATCAAAATTAGCTCTAGCATCACCTTAGCAGATTTAAAAGAAAAGCAGTTGAGGAAAAGACAACTATTAGAGATTTTAAAGATAAGCAGCTGTTGCGCCTTCAGAGAGGGTTGGGGTCGTTATGGCTAAAATAGAATATATGTAGTAAAGTATCTTCTGCCTCCAGCTGTGTCGACAAAAGACGGGAGTATGTCCAAAGTTCCGCAAGTCGTTCTCATGATATTAGAATCAAGTTCCCAGAAAAGCCAAATCTGTTAGACTATCCACGAACGAAGAATAGGGAAGTGACCTTGACATCTCTAGGTGTGGGTCTTGAGCTCCCAGAGGTAGAACTAAGTAATTCTGATGGGCAACCAGCCAAATACAGGAAATTTACCACAGCTCGAATTATATGTGGTATCCAAGGTCGAAGACGATAGTCAACGGCTCCCTATCGTGTTACATTATTGTAAAGGCTCGAGAGGCCATAAAATGATGCATAATGCTCCCACCACCATCGGGTTATCGTAGAGCATGCGATATACTGAGACGGTTGTTCAGTAGAACACACGAAGTTGTTCTTTGTTCAAAGATCCAAATATAGAGCCATGTAACGCAAGGCTGATGTAGCCGGGAGAAAGCTAGAGGTGAACAAACCAAAACGTGAATACATTCTCCATTGGACTGAGATAAATGTAATCATTACAATTTCGCCGCCATAGGACAGTTCGATTTAACTTGGTGCTTCTTAGTATTTTGATTATTTACACAAATCAAAATGGGTCTCACCGGATCACACTACAGGGAATCAGATAGATCATATTTGCATCAATAAACAATTCAGAAAGTCAATGGAAGACGTGAGAATCAAGAGAACTGACATACCTTCAGACCACCACTTGGTTGTGGCCAAGATAAAAGTGAAGCTAAAGAACCACTAGACCACTGGAGTGACAGCATTACAAAGGTTCAGTATAGCCTTCCGCCGAGAGACTGACAAACTCGACGAATCCAAGACAGCTCTTAACAACAGGTTCCAAGTCCTGCAAGATCTACTCAAAGATCGCTGAATATATAGAGATAAATGTAAACACGCTCCACGTCCTATTCAAAAATGTTTGGAAGAACATGTGCTAATAGACTAAAAAGAGATATACCTCGTCAGGCATGTTCGACTACACATTTTTGAAGCATCACCCTAAAATGGAGTCGCCAAGTGTGTATTTGGGAACAGAGTTTTAGGAAGAAACGGAAAACCGAGATGGATAACTTGCACCAATGTATTAAACTGGTAACTCTATGTTGGCGTACTGTTTGGAATAGACTATTAGGTGAAAATCTGTGGGATTATGGTGAACTACGGTCGAAAATTGGAAGTCAAAAACTCGATAGTAACTCATTCCTAGGTTCTACATAACCTAAAAAAACTGTCATGCACAGTCTTCGATAACGAATTCCGTAGTGCTAACTAAAACCGATGCGGAATTGTCTGGTCCCATGTTGAGTACGAGTGATATGACGCCTCACACTACTGTTGCAGAGGATAGTGCTTCCACAAAGTTTTATTTTGACGGGTGACAAGAACAGTGAGCATCCCGTTGTTTGAGGGTGTTTAAAAAGATCACATCAATAAAACATTTGATCCTTCAGCGGCTTTACAAGATGTGACCCATGACTTCTAATTTGATCACCCAAATCTACAATCGTAACACAAGCTAAAGAACTCGGAACTTTCTAGCAAGTTTGTTATTAAACACTCATCTAAGCTTAGAATTTACATGCTGCATCACTGCAGAAAAGAACCATACGACAAACTAGATAATTAAAATTGGTTGGACGAGACTGCACCAAACTTTTCGAGACACACTTGCATGTCAAGCGGTTAGCGCCATACCAATTTCACTAAACAGACACATAGCAACTCGATCGACAGAACTCCACCGCGCCTAGGAGTACATGAAGATGACGTCAGTGACAAATCAACTGAACAAAGGAAACGTCATGACCATTGCAATTAATATTATTTGACCTATATTCTCGGCCGCTTTAGGATTCTAAAGACAACTAGGGATGTGATGGACTATCTTTTCACCTTCAGATTGTAGTATTTAATACATTTACTAAGTTTGTCCAGAAAACAAGGAGTTATGGATAAATTTGTTTATTTGAAGTTCAAATAAATAATTAATACAATAAATGAAATATTATTTCGAAACTTGAATATATAGGAAATCGACAACTATCGATGATGAGATGCGTCTTATCATTCTGACGAAAACTATTGTCCTTCATAACCCGTTAATATAACGTGGCAAAATGAACAGTAATCCAGTTTGGGAAAGTGTGGAACCATTGGACGCCTTAGAATTGAGACCCGATGCTAAGAATCGATTTTATGGTCGCTCAGCATCATCATCAGACTATTCTGGACTCACATACATTCAAAGAGATTACTGGAAAAAATCTGTTCTTTCCCGGCAATACATACTTGAATGTTAGACATATACCGGGCAGAACCTCAGTATTGCTAATTAACCACTTTATTGCGAAATGTCTTTAGATTATCAGAAACTGTAACGATACAACTAATATAAGACGATGAATAATCAACATCTAGCCGATTTAATGTGAATCGAACTTAAACGTAGGCTGAGGAATATATGATGCAAATGTGTGGGTGTTTATAGACTCGATCACACACCCTGAGTCGACGTAAGATTCGAACGGCATCAAACTATACATGAATTCGGTTGTTGCAGTAGACGAACAACAGGTTTCCCCATAAATATAGATAGTATTACTTAGCCTATCCAACTGGAACTTATGAGGGTGCAATTTAATTGTTTGACTATAACATGGTTGTTGAACTTTTGAGGCGCCCGTCAAGACCTAATGATCGGTTAAGATAGATTCACAGCTTGCACATGAAAACTCAATTCTCCTCAGAAAAACGTTTGATTAATTGACACTTTCATCAAGTGATGAAAGATCTACTTATGAAGAAAAAATTATAAACACACCTGAAGGTACTCATTTTTACGACTAGAACAAAAATCAGCTCTCTAGTCCGATGAATACTTGCGACGCCACATAGTTCCGACTTCGTTTGTGTAAAAAAGCTTGCATATGTGCACGGAATAATCTTACGGCTTCGTAGAGTACAGCACTCCATGTAATGTAGAATGAAATTTTTGTAAGTAGACACGCAGTGAAGGCTAGCGTCATTGTCGAATGTCAGTGTGAAAACGCCGTATGAGATATAAGGGGTCTTGACGGTTTATTCAAGCAAGTATTTTAAAAACCCACAAGTTGTTGTTGACAAACGTGGCAGGAGCAGTAATCAGCACGAGACACTGACGTGGCATTTTGACAGTGTACGATGTTCTTACATGAAGGCCATTTCTGGAAATCAGCTGCGGACGTTGACAAATAGACACATACTACCTATAATCAACAAGAGATTTGCCAGCCTAAATAAAAAGTTGTATGAAACGTGAAGCAACGCGTAGAGACCAGACGAGGTAGACTACAACTAACGCAAAAGCAACGATTTCTAACACAATTTATATTTCAAAAAAGATAAATGGGAAATTTAGACGGTCTCTTATGACGCATAAAAACGAGAAGTCACATTTACGACTGAAAGTGAATTGATGTCTAAAAACGCAAAAGCCAGAAGATCGTGGGTACGACTGCTGACACTAGCCAAATAACGTTGATGCGAACGGTGAACAGGAAACGAGTAATAAATGCAAACGTCTCTTGCCTACGTGATTCGAGGTTGCTTCGCGTTTGACTTCACGGGACGACTCTGAAATGTTAGGTAAACTTGAGTTATGGGGAACGAAAAATTGGACGTAATGTCAACGCACAGATCTAGGCTGCGGGCAAACGAGAAGCACGTTTACTAAGCAACTTAGACGACCACGCACGCACAAACTCTCAACACTTGGAGTAATACATTCTGAGTAGCTTATCATAAATCACTTACTTTAGTTAGGGGCGACCGTAGCTGTACCTTGATAATTAGTTGTTATTAAGTAATTATAACCGCCTACCCTGATCTTGGTGGGACCGGTGATCTGCTATCCATCCCATAGTCATAGTAACTGTAATCGTATCCCGAATCGTAATTAGACATTGATCTATCGTTATCTCTATAGTCTCTGAAGTGGTTAGTGTTTTAGAAAGAAGCCTACTCGTAGTTTCCGCTGCTATAGCTGCCGTATGTATCATAATAATCGTTCGCACGTGGAGGACCTGATGGTGTTATTGGCTCCCGGTACCGGTCAAATTCACCGTACACATCGTAACTTTGTCTGATTGGGGGAGGTTTTGGAGGATAATCTCGAGACGATGGTATAGGCTCAGGGACTGGAGGCCCACGATATCCCACATTAGGTGGTAGCGGCAGTGGGTCACGGGCTGGACCACGTGGGAGTGGTCTGTGTTGTTCTCCACGGTCAATTGGCGGATACCTTCCATTGGCACCGTTTGGGGGATAATCGTAACCTAAATGATTATAGATTCATAGTGCATATATTACCTCTAGAGCTGTTACGTGGTGGTGGTCCGTAGGGCCCTCCATACCCATCATCCCAAGCCGGACCATAACGTCCCATTCGCGGGGGAGGTGGGCCGGAATTCATGTAACGTGGTGGCGCACGTGGTCCCCTTTCCGGTGGATAATCCCGATAACGCCCTTCATTTCTACGTCTAGTAGGCCCGGGACCACCACTTCGTTTCCCGTGGCTGCGTTCAACATTAATTTTCACCCCATCAAGAATGGCATTTTGAAGTCCTTCTATTGCAGCTTCAGCCTCAGACTCTTTTTCCATATGCTTAGAAAATTGATTGGAAAACTATCACAACCTACCACGAAGCCATAATTATTAACAACATCACATTCCGTAACCTTCCCAAAGGCTTCAAATTTTTTGCGGAGATCAGAAGCTTTGGATTCTGGATTTAGGTTCCCAACGAATATCTTCACCATGACAGCGAAAAATGAAACCAAGGTCTAATGGTTGGCGAAACAACGACGGTTTTAACAATAACTGAAAAAGTAAAACAATAATCCAAAACATGCATCTTGTTAATTTAATAGTAAGGAACGCCGTTTGTAGTCTTTATCTCATCTTTCTTCTAAGTATTTTTTAAGTGGCAGTTTATACTCAGTCGTCACATACAACTGACATCTACGAGTTATTTAACAGGTGTCTCGAGTGTAAATTTAAGCTCTGAACTGGTTTACCAGACATTTCGGCACATATATGAGTACGCATTTTTCTCAGACGTGCTCTACCCTACTATGATGAGAAAAGCGGTTTCAAATATTGTAACAGCTCTCAGGATACTTTTCTCTCATCTGCAAAGCCAGGATGCTGCTAAAGATAATCGGCAAATGGAATGTACCTCACTAGTTTTCGATGGACTCTGAATTATTAAATCTGAAGGCTACAAAGCAAATTCGTGTCTCATGATACCCTGAAAGATTTCTGAATCTCGAGCATATGACAACCCACACGACTATATGTCATCCATATATTTTCCGCTTCATTATCATTATGATGACCACAGAGTGCAAATATAACACATACTAAAAGTATATGTGACATAACTATGTTTTGAAGACTTCATAGGGATCATTATGCATGCTTTATGGAGAACCTCATCTTGAAATTTTACTATTAAAAAGACCCTAATAATCCATAAGTGTAGAGGAGTAGTTGTAGCTCTATTCAGTGGAAATACTTTCCCATTTACAGTTATCGATAACGTGCCCTATGTACCTCGAACGTGGAAATTAGTTAGTTGCCACTTGAAATGAAAACGACAAGAGCTGCTGACTGGTTTGGTCCACCGCAGTTCAAACTGAGGTGAGTGAGGTCTTGCTAGTCGGTTTTGATACTTGGTCATCAAGTGGTCGATGTTTAATCTTATGAGACTTTATCTTATTCACGTCAGACTGGAAAAACCCGAGGATCGGGTTGCCAGAAAAACATCCCTAACACAAAACAGCTGACACTGTTATCACATGTCCTCTAGTGTAAATTGTGAAACAATAAGATACTACCGGGACTCCGAAAAGTTCTTACCAGATCTTATATTGACCTGCTGTGATGTTGATGACACAAACCTTCAAAATATGCTACCCCTAGGCATTCAGTTCTAATCTTTGGTTTCCATATAGTTGTCACAAACTCTTGTCTTGCAAAAACTCTCCAAGTATGTGGAAACGCTTTAAAGAACTTACAGGTGACAGACAGTTTAGTAACGATAACCAGCTGAATGTTTGTGACTTAAATAAGTCTTTTGTACGCCAGTCATCTGATGTGATGCTCCCTCTATCCACGGGTTTAAATAATAGCTGTGTTCCTACTTTCACCGAGACTGATGTACGAAGATGTCACCAGTCACTGAATTCATCCCAATGTTTAGGATCTGATGGTATCCCAAACATCCTTTTTAAAAAGTGTGCTGACGTCCTATGTTATCCGTTCACAGCTATCTTTAACAGATCCTTCTCATCTAATCTCATACCGAAAATGTGGAGAAAGATGAAGATAATTCCTCTACCCAAGAAAGCATCTGGTGATAAGAATGTAAAATTTAGACCTATTGCAATAACTTCACCCTTCCACAAAACAATGGAAAAATCATTAATACTTCCACTTCAGCCTGGATAAAAGAGCATATTGATCCATATCAGTTTGCTTACAGACGCAAAAGAAGCACTTTAGATGCAGTTGCTGTTCTGCATCACAACATAGTGTGCAACTTAGAAAATGGTAAGAAGCATGTTCGATGTGCTTTTCTGAACAATACTTCAGCTTTTGATTCTATGCCAAGACAACGTTTTATTAACAGGTTAATCAGCGTCAACACTGACAGCTGGATAACCAACTGGCTATGTTCCTACTTCTCTGGAAGGGAACAGTACATTGTGTTTGGAGGAAAGTGTTCAGAGTCTCTGCTGTCTCGTACCGATTGTTGATTTGTTGGTAATGGTCTTATACTTAATCCGTCTAAATGTCAAGCTGTTAACTTTAGCATGATACGTGAACGGCATCTAAACACCATCGGAGACTCTTTGATAAACACAGTATCGAAGGTCAATTATGTTGGTGTCACCTTTTCCTCTGATCTGTCTTGGTCTTCCTACGTTTTATTGTTATCAAAGAAGGTTTTCCGTCTGACCTACTACATAAAGAGACTGCATGCTCTTAGGATTACTCGTCATTTACTCTAACAATTTGTCGATTTTTGCATATTACCTATTATTCTTTACTGTTATCCATTATTCTTTTCCGGAGCTTTTGAGGAAAGACTTTGCTGTATTGCGGAGAGTGCTGAAGGCAGTTGGCAAGATGTGTGGTGAATCTTTCGAGGTCATAATTAATATAGTTGTGGATGGACACTTAAAATCATGCAAACTCCTGGCAGGTGTTATTTTATCAGATACTAGCCATCGCCTTCACTCTTATCTTTCTCCTTGTATATCTTCTGGTAGAACGAGACGTAATTACATTAAAATCCACGTACGCAAGCAAAAGTATAAAAGTTCTATAATACCTTACCTAGCAAATATACTCTGTGACGAACAGGTTGTTAGAGTTAACCTAGTAAATAACTTGCATTATTAACATGTCCTTAACTTTAAAAGTTGTACAGTTTTTCGGGTTTTTTTCTTTTTAAAAAAACCTTTTTCATTTTTTTTGTATTCGTTACTGTGTTTTTTTGTTGTTGCGTAAGTAAATTGTTGAAACAACCTGTGCTGAGAATTCTGTATTGTACCAAAACTATAATATTGAATAAAGGCAATAAATAATAATAATAATAATAACCTAAAGTCTAGAGGGCAAATATACAAGGTACCATACACTCAGCATCCGCAGCAGATTAGTCAATGGAGCCAGCGCCCCCAGTTGTAACGTTCTGAAATATATTTAGAAATTCGTACACAAACGTCACTGCACCCCACGTCTTTTAAACTACACTGAGGGGTCTGAGAAACTCCCCACTGTGAATTAATAATTAAGTTCACACCCCTCTCTGTAAGAGAATTCGGTCACCGGATACTGACGGAACGAAATTTCAATATCGAGAAGTTCGAAATATTTATGCCTCGACCCTCTGCAAGTCTAGAAGGTCGTATGAAGAAACATTTATTAAGGAATCTATAGAACACCACAAACACTCATATTCGTACATAAACCAAAGGACTAGGAGAAGAGGAAATATTCTGCAGTTAGAGGGTAGCTTAGTACTGCATCATTGGTGGAGGATGATTATAGTGAAGATGCCACAGGCATTTGGAGTTTAACAACGCTTTAACCAGTAACACCTTCTAATATGAAGCGTACCCACCCAGTGAAATCAAAAGACAGAGGCGAGGAGGTTCGAATTTATATTTGATAGGCTATTAATACATCGAGGATCGTCTGATCTAATCTGGCTAGCGATTACAGGGGATGTTGAGCACGGCGTTCCCGCTCGTGACCTGGTGCGGATGGATGACCGAGCACCTTCAGCTAGGTGAGTTCATCAAAACTAATGTGGTCAGCATCCAATGTCGAAGACTTACAGAGCTATTATTTTGTGGATTTATTTACCGCTCCAAATAACTCCCCCTCCTGTGGGGTAGTAATGACCCCAAGATGTGACTAGTCAGAAGTTTGAACCCAACGAGTTTGTAGTTGTTAAACACTTCTGATTGCTTGCTAGGTTTGGCAGCCTCTAGTCGTCTTTCCTTACTATAAGGAACCATGAATTACAATATAGTAGAAAGAGAAATAGTACGATGAAAACTTCGGTTCCTCGTAAACTGCATCATTCTTTTCCAGAAGTCCTGGGAAAGAGAAAAAAGAATATGTAAGTGCATTTCGAAATGAACGCGTGAGCGCGTTAAGACACAAAGTGAGCGAAAAAAGCGAAACAAACTCATGTGCATGCGATAGCGTAAAAGCGACTGTTACGAAATGGCTTTTCGTGTTTAAAAAAATCTAATAAACGTATTAACGAAATAATGAATATATATAAATATAAGCATATAGAAATTGATTTTTTTGTATCATATAAAATGCCATGGAAAATCGAGATGAAGCAAGATGTTAACTGGTGTCTTATGTGCAATAGTGTTTCAAATGTTCTGGAAATCTTATTCTTCTTCCAGAACGCGTTGTTTTAAGTTTATTTTCTGATACTGTCGAAGTATCATCGTGTGGGTTGGCTGTCGGTTGAGGTATTGTAAGTGTAGGAGACCTGTCGGGCGATTGTACTGAAGGAAAATCGACGTGAATAGGAGTTCCTTCTGAATGCACTGCTTTGATTCAATCGATGCTGATGCTATCGTTGGTTCCATTCTTATCGATTATATAGTACTTAAATTCGTGCTGAGGAACTTTGAAATGTCATTCGTATGCTGATTCGAAGGATCGTCGATGCGAGTCTCGACGAACAAAAACGTGTGTACTATATCGTAAGTCAGGTTGAACGAAAACTTCAGTTGAAGTCGAGTGGAAACAGATTTAACTGAACGCATTGCGTTTGTAAGCCTGTTAGTGTAGGAGGTTAGATCCATGCTCATTGAAGAGGATGAAGGATCCACGAATTCTCCTGGAAGTGTCGTCCCATAAACGAGTTGAGCTGCAGTGTATCCAATGTCAGGTTTCACTGCATTGCGAATACCTAGTAAGACGAGTGGAAGAGTGTCAGGCCACTATGAAACGTTTGCAGCTGATAGTGAAGCTTTCAGTTGTCGGTGAAAGCGTTCTACCAACCCGTTTGCTTGTGAGTGATAGGCAGTCGTTCGTAAGCGAGTGATTCCTAAAAGTGTGCTCAGACGACGGAAAGGTTCGGTATCAAACTGACGGCCTGTAGTGATAGTTGAAGGGCAGCTGAAGTTTGCTACCCATCGTTCGACGAAAACGCTGGCTACTGTTTCAGCAGTGATGTTCTTGATAGGTATTGTTCCTAGCCATCGAGTGAAACGGT